GTGTGGCCATCCCCGCGGGGAGTGATTTCTTTCTCTCTCCCTATCTCTGTTCTTCTCTCTCTCTCCATTGAGCACACGCACCATAAGGCAAAAAGCTCTAAAAACAAAATAAATAAGGAGTGTTATTATTCCTGTCCGTGTTCAGTTTGCTTAGTATTGCAAATATATAGTAAGCTACCCACTGTGTAAAATGAATGATGCTAGGTGCTTTGAAAAAAATTTTAAATCAAAGTTAAATGAGCTGCTTCTCTCATATTGATAAGAGGTTCTAAGATGTCAAGGAAAAATCTTTTTAAAAATTGGTAGAAATTAGTAACAGATACTAAACAGATATATAATCTGTAGTTGTGAAAAACTGCACTGAATAGCATTTAAAGCTCTAGATTAATCCAACATGGAGTCATTGGGTTAGGTAGGTATATGCAACTGTTAAAAGCACATACAAGACCAGACCAGCAGATAGCATAATGGCTGTGTTGCTGGCATGTAGTTGACCGTGGTTCGAGTCCTGGACCGGTGGCTTAAACTCATGCCAGGCGCGTGTGCATGTGTGCCCAAGATCCCGGGAGGAGAACGGAGGAGAAGGGATTGTGGTGTGGCCATTCCCACCCCCGCAGGGGGTGATTTCTTGCTTTCCATCTCTCTGTCTCTGTCTTCCTGGTGAGGGCACACATACTATAGCAAAAAGCTCTCCAAAACAACAACAATAAAAACACATACAAGACGTAGAATAAGAAAAAAGAGTACAGGCCATCAGGTTAGACTGTGAGGAGTCTAACTGATAAGTTAATTCCTTCTTCATCAGGTCTTCAGTTTAGCAGATCTGGAGCCTTCATTGTACAACTATTTCCAGGCTTAGACAGGTCTAGAGGTGATGGTTCTCGCTTCTAGACTTGAAAGAGAGAGTCATGTAAACCAGATTGACTGTTTATTCCTTTATGTACAATTGTCAGGTGTCCCCAAGCATTCTTCACTACATTCTTTCTCCCATACGACAACATATGTGGTAAAGTGTTGCTTGATAAAAATGAACTCTAAGCAGGATGAGTTAGTTGGATGGATTGTATCATCACGCTATCTGTGCCAAGAGGACTGGGTTCTCAGGTCTATTAACCAGGAAAACTCCGCTCATAAATTACTGCTCTTTACCATATCCTTCCAACCTCACAGTTTTTCTAATATTCAGTCAGTAAGTACCCCTTCCTCCCTTTCTCCAAGGAACCTGCCCCCTTTTCCAGGTATAATCTTATTAGTTAGGTTACAGTTTTTCCTTTATAGCTTATTAAAACCGAACAAAAAAGCTAATTTCTTAGCTAAAATATTGGTTAATAAAATAGGTAAGGCCTATATTTTTGTTTCCAGTTTATTCCTTTTCTTAAAGAAATAAATTTCCATTTTTTAAAATAGTGAGCCAGTTTCATAAATATCTTAGTTAGGCAGACTGATTGAAACCTTAGATATCATTTGACCATAATCAAGACATATATATATATATTTCTGGAAATATGATACCTTTTTTTTTTCCAATTGCAGGGAGAATGTGTTTTCACTGGATAGAGACAAAGAGAGGGAGAGAAAGAGGGAAAGTGAAATATTACCCCCTGGGGTGGGGGTCTGACCACACTGCAATCTCTTCTCCTCCATTGCTCTCTCAGGATTTGGCGCATGCCCACACATGGGCCCAAGGAGGTTTTTTTTTTAAGCTCCTGGACCTGGGACTTAAACCATGTAGTCAGCCATGTGAGATCCAGTGCTTTAATCACCATGCCACTGGTCAATGTAAGCTATCATAATTGTAGACAACACATAGTAAAAATTTGTTTCTTATTCCTGGAAAATTGATATTTTTTTAAAAGTGAGTTTTACATATAACCAAGACTTCATAATTTATGTTTATACTTTTTTAAGCTAGCAGTTATCTTACTGGTTTTTTCCTGATGAGCACTAAAGGTATTGAGTCTTCCATATTGAGTGAAATGATCTGAACTAAATATTGTAATTTTTTAGTGTATTTTTAAAAATTTTACATTTATCTGCATTATGAAAGAAACTTAAAAGCATCCTAAATCTGATTTAGCATTTGGAAATACCTTGTGGTTTTCAGTATTCCTGGCAGTAGTAATCTCTCTCCCTTTTTAGTTTCTTGTCTCTGTCCTTCTTGTGAATGTGATAGTGTGACAACTCACGTTCCTCTGAGAATATTGCATGAACACCAGCACCAAAAACTTGATGACATATTTGGCTGTTCAAGTACCAATTGCACTTTTTTTCTTATAACTCTATTCTGGGTAGCAGAGTGTCAGAGAGGAACATTTGCTATTTCTAGAAAAATAAACAGCCCTAGTTTGGTCAGCTTCACAAATCCTGTTCACAAAGTGATGGTAAGTACCCTTTGAAAGAGTAACTGTCTGCCTGTTGTGGCTTAATAGATAGTATCTGGTTATTTCCAGGTGACGTGGGGTCCTTGGGAAAGTCATGATCCGTTTTTGCATAGAAAACCAGAAAAATACGGCATGACTTTCCCAAAGACCCAATATAAAGCTCTCAAAAACACTTGAAAATGAAAACCTTTTTCTATGTAAAAGCTAAGTCTGAACACTTTAAAGTTGATTCTTTTAATGCCATGAATAAATTCTTCAAGGGTATAGTGAAGTTGTAGATGTCTGCATGGCAAAAATCCCCCTTAATGTTAGGTGGTGGTAGGAGTCTGACCTCACAGCCGCCAGCCTTGTCCTGAAGCAGTTCCAGGTCTTGGTGTGAGCCAGGACTGATTCTAAGCCGTTCGTACACCTTTCCTGTCGTCGCTTCTGGACTTCCGTTCTCTTTTCCTGTCCCATCTTTCTTCTGTACTTTGCACAGGCTGTCATAATTGCTTTGGAACCTCCTGTTATCATCAGACTCTTACATGGTTCAGTTCAGATTTACAGATGTGGAGCCTCAGGCCCAGATTTTTTCTTAAGTTTCTAATCAATGTTCTCAAGTATTTTCAGACACTGTTTGAAAAACATTGTTCTGAGGAAATTATACAACATAACTGAGAAGTGTTAATTATGAAATAGAATCATCATTGGGTACCACACATTTCAAAGCATGATAGCAAAAATAACATATAGACTGTATAGTTAATCTATCACTTATCTACAAATCCCTGGGGAAAAAAATCTGTAAATGAAACTTTGTTACTGGTTACTAGTCTGCATGAAAAGGTTTATTTTCCCTGATGTGGGCTGCCTGTGGTTATTCAGCTATTCCTACATGAGAATTTAGTATCATGAGCTGCTCATGTAATATCTTTGAAGAGTTTTTTTTACAGTAAAGGAGCTTTTTATTAGTATCATTGGAAAAAAGTTCTACAGCCAAGTAAATTCTTGGGATTTCAGTTGCAGTCACAAGAATTTACATAAGTAGTTTCTTAATAATATTACAGTTTACCTTCAGCCATATGAGCAAGATATTGAAGTTAAGGGATAATAAGAGGAAAACTTCTCTTTTTCATATATTTTAAGAATGTATTTTTATAGTGCTTTAAAGGATATTTAAAATATATATCTAAAATTGATAGTGTAATTTGTGTTTTGATTATTTTGATATTAGGACAGCAGTTTGTCAATCTAACGATAGATTTTCTGTTAACACAAATTAAACCAGCATTTCTAGAAGTTGTCCTCTGTTGACTTTTTTTTTCATTTTTTAAGTATTTGTGTTAGAGCCTTATAGAAAATACACAGTAAAAATTGTAGGGGTACCAGCAGATGGTACAGTGGTTACATTGCTGGACTCCTACATGGTTGGCCGTGGTCTGAGTCCCAGACCCTGCATCTTAAAACATATTCTGGGAGTGTGTGTGTATGTGCCCAAGATCCCAAGAGGAGAATGGAGGAAAAGGGATTGTAGCATGGCCATTCCCTGTGTGTGTGTGTGTGTGTGTGTGTGTGTGTGTGTGTGGTGGGGGAATGATTTCTCACTTTCTTTCTCTCCCTATAGCAAAAATCTCTCTTTAAAAATTGTATTATGGGGCCAGGGCGGAACAGTCATAAAATGTTTCGCTCTGTGCGTTAGTCTTCGTGGGAAGGTTCCAGGTTCTAATCTAGAGACTGCCCTTAGTGTGACGGGTGTACACTGGCCCATGATCTGGAGCTAGTGGAAGGCTGGGGATAGATACTGGACATAAATTAAAATCTGTAACACTGTCAGTACTGAAAGAAGTTTTGTACAATTTTTCATCCCAATCACTGCCTTGTGAGTTTAATAACAAAACCATTGAAAGAAATCCGTATGGAAAGCTAATTTGAAAGTAAACATGCTTTAACACTTAAATATAGATCTTGTATTAGTACCCCGACAGGATAAAGACGGCATCAGGACACTGCTGGTGTGGAGGTTTTCTCTCGCTTGTTTACGGAGGACATAAACTTTTTATAAAGAGATATTTTATTATAATGAAAAGAGACTTTTCTGTTGAAAAAGGAAACAGTATCAAAGAACACTAATCAATTAACTTTATTTTACAGAGCCATAGATGATGTAAAATGGCAAATTCATAGATTGCCTGGTTGAATTTTGTTGTTTCCAGAAATCCAGCACCAGTAGCACTCTGACTTTTAGCAGTTTTCTGTTCATTATTGTCTTACATGTCATTTTGGTATTTATTTTTAATATATGTTCACTAATAATTAATTGAATTAGAAATAGACTATTAAAACAATTATTAAGAAAGCAAACTTAAATAAAAGGTTATATTTTAATGAACTAATACTCTTACAGTACTTGTGAAGTTTTGTACTTGAGTAATATTTTTTGGCATAATGTAATGTCGATTCTGTTTTTCCAAGGGAATTCCAGCAATGTATATAAATAAATTAAAATTATTAGTGCTGATTTATAAGCTGTTTTTAAATCTTCAGGATATTCTCCGAATAGCATTTAAAAATCATAAAATAGATATGAAATAAAGACTTGATACCTGTTACTTCTGAGTATTTTTTTTTCATTTTTAATAGGATACAACATCTATTGAAAAGATGTCAAACTGTTGTGAAGATATGTAAGTATAAAAGTGATATGTGTAGTAATTATATTTAAAATCTGAAACTCCCAGCTACATCTGGGATATGTGCATATAGTGGAAAGACAATATATAATAGCTTTTTCTTGGTGTCTGACTCGAGGTCTGAGCTAGACAGCCATACCCCACTTTACCATAGGGGACTTCTAGCCATGATAGTTTTCACACAAAATAAGTACTGATCATTCTTATTACTTGTCTAACTAAAGTAAGTTAAATGATTTGTCCTGAAAGTACATCAAAAGAGATTTGCTACTGTGCTGTTGACACACATTCTGTTAATCCTGAGATCCTCTGCTTCAAAAGTTGCCCCAGGTTGATTGACGACACAGATACAATATCTGCTAGCCAGAGTTAAAACTCAGCTGCATGCCACAATGAAAGAAAAGCTGTATTTGTGATGCTGGGACACAATTCATCAGAGTCCAGTAATGGATCCCCAGCCAACCTGCATTGTTTTAGCTGACTGAAGTGCACCATGGGAGTGCTGTCTTTCACTAATAATGCTGTCTTCTGTAGATCGAGGCCCCGAAAGCCATGGCAGCAGACCTTCTCAGAAGTTTTTGGCACTCGTTGGAAGATCCTGTGGTTCATTCCTTTCAGGCAGAGACAACCACTGCGAGTTCCCTACCACTTTGCCAATCACGTCTAAACAGATGGATGGTGGGCACAGATGGGTCCTCCATGCTGGAAATGCGTTACAGGTTTTATGATAATAGAACTATGACAGTCTTCAAGTCAATTAAAATCCACCCACCAATCTTAGGCATCATAATGTGCCCCAGGCTTTATTTTAATAGTGATCTTGATCCTGTCGTGGGACTAATACAAGATCTATATTTAAGTTTTAAAGCATGTTTACTTTCAAATTAGCTTTCCATAGGGATTTCTTTTAATGCTTTTGTTATTAAACTCACAAGGCAGTGATTGGGATGAAATAATTGTACATAATTTCTTTTAGTACTGACAGTGTTACAGATTTTAATTTATGTAACATGTTTATTTAAAATTTTCACTTTTTTTAAAGCAGTTCTAACCAAATCTGAATTTAATTCTTCAGGTTTTATGAAAGTTGGTACACCTTCTTACGGTATATGTACATTTTCCTTTTAGCTGCCACTTAAAGTACTTAGTACTTCCTTTTATATGTGCTGCAAGATTTTAAAAACTGCAACATAGGGTTGAACAACAACAAAAAGGGCAGTGTTTTCTTAGGAATAGCTTTCTTATGTTCTCTCTTCTCCTAACCAAAATCAAAATCGGAACACCACTAAAACAAAACAGCAACTACCTACCTTATTATAGAGATTACAATTTTCTTCTACATTAATTTTCCTATTTCTTTCCCTTTAGTGTGGTAATTATTGATTATTATTAGCTAATTTTCTCTCAGGAGAAATTTGTGACCATTGGGCATGTATTCCTGTTTTACCCTAAGATTTTAATGAGCAAAAAGGGTAGAGAGTTTGCAATAATCCCACAGTTATGTTTTCTACTGCAGTTATATTAGAATGGATATGTTTTTAAAATGCTGATATAATTAGATAATATATAATGTATAGTATGAAAAGAAATATTGTGCTTTTGAAAAAATATATACTTTTTACTTTTATTTATCTAATAATAGATCTGAAATTACTCATGGGAGGTTTATATATTGGCTAACTCATATTGAAATTTTATTTATAAGAAATTACTAGTAAAAGTCATTAAGTTTTGTGTACATATAATCATCGTAATTGGAATTAATTTTAATCAGCCAGCTATAATTTGCATCGAGAGACCTTTTATTAGTAACTAATGTTAGGAAATTACCTTAAGAAAGTATAATGATCTATACATAGCCTTGTACAAATTTGAATTGGTAATAGTGATGGTCTTTTGGAAAGCATCAAACATTTGTATGCAAAGATTAGTATACTTTGAAAAATTCAGCTTTTAATTTTTTTCCATTAGAATACTGCAAAATCCATATATCTTTTTAAGAAACTTGTATTGTCACAGTCTCCCTTGAAGAGAAGATTGAAATAGTCTACTATTCTTGGACCATATTAATATTTTCCTTTTAGTTAGTTTTGAGAGTAATAAATTCTATCTAGGGAATAATGGAACAGAGGTTACTGTTGTCAGCCAGTTAGTTAATTTGTGGTTAGTTCTTTTGGAAATTGTAAATATAAAATATTCTGAAGTAATAGAATAAGCTCTTCTTAGAGATACTAATACCTGTTTTCATGTTCTAGTTTTAATAATTTAGAAGTGGCAGATGAAAGTATTTATTGATGCTGATTGGAAGAATAGTAGACTTAATATAAGACATATATTTATAAAGCTTAATGAAATACAAAACTAGTATGTTTATGTCAGGCAAATGGGTTGGATTTTGTGCAGATTACTTGACCAAATTTGGCCTGGTGACAGAACTGTTATAAGAAAGTAATGTATAGATAATGTGGGTAGATATCAGTTAAATGCCTTATGTTGGGTACATTCCTTTCAAATAAGGACCTTGAGAAAACAGTAGAGCCAGATGAAGACCCCTAATGAGCTTTATGGACATATTCTACTTCATTTAGTAGCAATAGCTACACTGAAAGGTACTGGGAGGTCTCTTCCCCCTCTGAGGATTCGTTTTTGTTTTTCTTAGTTTTCCACTTCTAGGGCTCTTTTCCCTTTCTCTTCACCTTTCCTGGTCCTGATCCTTCCATACCTAGTTTCTCTAACTTAATGAATTACAGACTCATGCACTAGGCAAACATTTGCTTATTTTGTTTAAATGGCAGAAGTGCTACATATCAATATATTTACATAAGAATCTATACTGAAGTACATCTGTATATACGTATGCTGTAACTTTCAATATTCCCAAATTACCCTATGGTAGGTTTTTAATTCTCATTGAGCAACTACGGAGAAACCAACTGGCACTTTCCTAGAGTTTGAATGAACTCTGGTGTTCTCTCTGCGCCCTCTTTTGGCTAATTGATGCAATTATACTGCTCTAGAGATTTGCTACCCCATAAAGTAAATCGTGCAGCCACATTCTGAACGTGTCTGAAGTATGTCTTTCACTAATAATGCTGTCTTCTGTAGATCGAGGCCCCGAAAGCCATGGCAGCAGACCTTCTCAGAAGTTTTTGGCACTCGTTGGAAGATCCTGTGGTTCATTCCTTTCAGGCAGAGACAACCACTGCGAGTTCCCTACCACTTTGCCAATCACGTCTAAACAGATGGATGGTGGGCACAGATGGGTCCTCCATGCTGGAAATGCGTTACAGGTTTTATGATAATAGAACTATGACAGTCTTCAAGTCAATTAAAATCCACCCACCAATCTTAGGCATCATAATGTGCCCCAGGCTTTATTTTAATAGTGATCTTGATCCTGTCGTGGGACTAATACAAGATCTATATTTAAGTTTTAAAGCATGTTTACTTTCAAATTAGCTTTCCATAGGGATTTCTTTTAATGCTTTTGTTATTAAACTCACAAGGCAGTGATTGGGATGAAATAATTGTACATAATTTCTTTTAGTACTGACAGTGTTACAGATTTTAATTTATGTAACATGTTTATTTAAAATTTTCACTTTTTTTAAAGCAGTTCTAACCAAATCTGAATTTAATTCTTCAGGTTTTATGAAAGTTGGTACACCTTCTTACGGTATATGTACATTTTCCTTTTAGCTGCCACTTAAAGTACTTAGTACTTCCTTTTATATGTGCTGCAAGATTTTAAAAACTGCAACATAGGGTTGAACAACAACAAAAAGGGCAGTGTTTTCTTAGGAATAGCTTTCTTATGTTCTCTCTTCTCCTAACCAAAATCAAAATCGGAACACCACTAAAACAAAACAGCAACTACCTACCTTATTATAGAGATTACAATTTTCTTCTACATTAATTTTCCTATTTCTTTCCCTTTAGTGTGGTAATTATTGATTATTATTAGCTAATTTTCTCTCAGGAGAAATTTGTGACCATTGGGCATGTATTCCTGTTTTACCCTAAGATTTTAATGAGCAAAAAGGGTAGAGAGTTTGCAATAATCCCACAGTTATGTTTTCTACTGCAGTTATATTAGAATGGATATGTTTTTAAAATGCTGATATAATTAGATAATATATAATGTATAGTATGAAAAGAAATATTGTGCTTTTGAAAAAATATATACTTTTTACTTTTATTTATCTAATAATAGATCTGAAATTACTCATGGGAGGTTTATATATTGGCTAACTCATATTGAAATTTTATTTATAAGAAATTACTAGTAAAAGTCATTAAGTTTTGTGTACATATAATCATCGTAATTGGAATTAATTTTAATCAGCCAGCTATAATTTGCATCGAGAGACCTTTTATTAGTAACTAATGTTAGGAAATTACCTTAAGAAAGTATAATGATCTATACATAGCCTTGTACAAATTTGAATTGGTAATAGTGATGGTCTTTTGGAAAGCATCAAACATTTGTATGCAAAGATTAGTATACTTTGAAAAATTCAGCTTTTAATTTTTTTCCATTAGAATACTGCAAAATCCATATATCTTTTTAAGAAACTTGTATTGTCACAGTCTCCCTTGAAGAGAAGATTGAAATAGTCTACTATTCTTGGACCATATTAATATTTTCCTTTTAGTTAGTTTTGAGAGTAATAAATTCTATCTAGGGAATAATGGAACAGAGGTTACTGTTGTCAGCCAGTTAGTTAATTTGTGGTTAGTTCTTTTGGAAATTGTAAATATAAAATATTCTGAAGTAATAGAATAAGCTCTTCTTAGAGATACTAATACCTGTTTTCATGTTCTAGTTTTAATAATTTAGAAGTGGCAGATGAAAGTATTTATTGATGCTGATTGGAAGAATAGTAGACTTAATATAAGACATATATTTATAAAGCTTAATGAAATACAAAACTAGTATGTTTATGTCAGGCAAATGGGTTGGATTTTGTGCAGATTACTTGACCAAATTTGGCCTGGTGACAGAACTGTTATAAGAAAGTAATGTATAGATAATGTGGGTAGATATCAGTTAAATGCCTTATGTTGGGTACATTCCTTTCAAATAAGGACCTTGAGAAAACAGTAGAGCCAGATGAAGACCCCTAATGAGCTTTATGGACATATTCTACTTCATTTAGTAGCAATAGCTACACTGAAAGGTACTGGGAGGTCTCTTCCCCCTCTGAGGATTCGTTTTTGTTTTTCTTAGTTTTCCACTTCTAGGGCTCTTTTCCCTTTCTCTTCACCTTTCCTGGTCCTGATCCTTCCATACCTAGTTTCTCTAACTTAATGAATTACAGACTCATGCACTAGGCAAACATTTGCTTATTTTGTTTAAATGGCAGAAGTGCTACATATCAATATATTTACATAAGAATCTATACTGAAGTACATCTGTATATACGTATGCTGTAACTTTCAATATTCCCAAATTACCCTATGGTAGGTTTTTAATTCTCATTGAGCAACTACGGAGAAACCAACTGGCACTTTCCTAGAGTTTGAATGAACTCTGGTGTTCTCTCTGCGCCCTCTTTTGGCTAATTGATGCAATTATACTGCTCTAGAGATTTGCTACCCCATAAAGTAAATCGTGCAGCCACATTCTGAACGTGTCTGAAGTATGCGCGTAGGAGGAGTGTGTATGTACAAAATGCGAAGTTTTAAGGAAATAACTTACTTTCTATGGTGTTATTTCTATTTCATAAGGATGCGATGATGACTTCGCTTCTTTTATGTATATTCTTATATCTCTTACTGTCGATCACAAATTTATATCAGATCAGGATAAAGTAATGTACGCCATTTCATGTACTTTTTCATTTCTTTGGCAAATCAGTTTCTTAAAATCAGGAAAGTTATTACTTTAAAATTACCAATCTATTATGATACACATAAATTTCTTGCAGTTACAATGAGAAACAAGTGTTTAGAGTGGTTTACTGCACACCTAAAAAATACTTTTGGTTTTTTTAACCTCAGTTTTGGGATGATTTTTTTTCCATTGGCTCTGTTGCCTTTAATATATTAATAAGAGAATCATTCTTTTTATGGATTTTCTTTTCTTTGTACCTTTTACTTTCTCAGATAATTTTGTTTGATAATTACTATTATATTCCGGATAACCATGAAAATAGCTAAAACTTGCACATTAGGAAGTAACTAGGCGCAGTAAGATCACTGATGCAATCTATACATTGGACTGAAGTATTTCTGTATAAACTTTCCATTTAATTTTAAGCAAAATGTATGTTAAAGGTTGTTTTTATAGCAGCAAAATCCTTTATCAGGCTTCTGGAAGTGAAAATATTTTTTGTTTTTAAACTCGGTACTATACGTTATACCTTGTTTTCTACAAACAGAAATGTTTATGAGCTCGAGATAGAGCTCAAGATGGTAGGCAAAAAATGGACTGAGTTTTGAATACCCCAAACAGTAGACATTCAGTTGAAAAACTGTTGAAACTTTGTAACTTTGACTTACAGTTTTAAAGTATTGTTAGCTGATGTTCTGTTGTAATAAAAAAA